CTATTACCGTTTAGCTCGGACTCTCAAATCGAATACGGTAGTAACTATGCTCTTCCTCGTAGGCCCCTCAGGCTGACTCGCGGCGTACGATGACTACCAAAAAGCAGAGCTGCAGGTCGATACATTGCGATCCCAGTGCACTCCCAGCATTCAATCCGCGGATCCCGTACATATAGAATTAGTGAATAGGGAGGCCGAGTGCAGAGCCTCCTTGCCCCCCTTGGACGCATTACCACCGGTCACCATGATGGAGTTAAAGAACTGATCAAAGACCTATGTCCTCGCAAGGCTCCTAGTTCCGACGGTATATCTAACCGCGTTATCAAACTTCTACCAGCCCAACTCATTGTGATGTTGGCATCTATTTTCAATGCCGCTATGAACTGTATCTTTCCCGCGGTGTGAAAAGAAGCGGACGCTATCGGCATACATAAACCCCGTAAATCAAAAAAATCATCCGACGAGTTATTGCCTGATTGGCCTTCTCATGTCTCTAGCCAAATTTTACGAGCATTTGCTCTTCAAACGCCCCACAGACTTAGAGTCATATGCAAGGGCATTCTTATCGACAAACAATTCGGATTCCGTGCATATCACTCATGCGTCGTCGTGGCCTAACGTGCGTAGAAGTCGTCGTGGCCTAACGGATAAGACGTCCGATGCATTCGCGTTAAGCGATGCACCGGTGTTCGAATCCCGCAGGCGGGTACCAATTTTTCTAATGAAATACGTACTCAACAAATGTTCACGATTGACTTCCACGGTGAAGGAATAACATCGTGTAATAAAAATGAAACCCGCAAAATTATAATTTGCGTAATTACTGGTGGTATGACCTCTTGTGAGTCCGCGCGGGTGGGTACCACCGCCCCTGCCTATTTCTGCCGTGAAGCAGTAATGCGTTTCAGTTTGAAAGGTGGGGCAGTCGTTATTGGGAGTCCGTTCCTACTCAGGGAAGCAAGGAGGCATGTCTTTGTCAACAAGGCATACTTTAAGCTATCATCGGACTCGGGCGCCGAAGTGCAGACAAACTCTTGATAAACCGGGGCAGTCGTTATAACTATACTTGAGACCTTAGAACTTATCTCAAGGTGGGTGGCGCATTTACGTCGTAGATGTCTATGGGCTCCAGTAACCACTTAACACCAGGTGGGCTGTGAGCTCGTCCACTCATCTAAGCTATAAAAAAAAAAGGTGCATCGCCTCACGGAGCACGTTCTCGTAGGGCTTAACCGACCAAAACCATTCTACACGGGAGCCCTTTTCTTCGACGGGGCAAATCCGTCCAACGTCTAATCACGTTTTTACAGGCTAACCACGGAGCATCGTGCTTCGTGAAAAACGTCGACCTACACGACGATCTAGGCCTCAAACCGATCTGGAAATACATGAACTCGTATTTGTCGTAAATGCCTTCAACTCTAGCACTAACAGCAGGTTTAGGAACCCCGGTAGCGGTACTGGTCGAACTCGGCAAAGACTTCGACGTGCAACCTAACCTAAACATCAGCCCGCTGAGTTTGTGAGCGAATCGCGATTCCGATCTGGTAGTAGATGCATTTACGAAGCAGCTGCCCTTGAGTTTTTAGGTCTCCTTCGGAGGCGCTCGGGCAGCTGTCTGTTAGCAAATCCCAACTCTTGGCTGAGCATTTACTCGCCCACGTGTCCTAGTGAAACTGGAAAGGCCTTGGGGCGACCAATAATCCTTCCTTCCTAAAAAAACTCTCTTCTACACCATGACCAATGCAACGTGTAGTTCGCTTTTTTTAGCATGGGAGGAATTTCTGTTTGCCTCTGCTTACAGCTTCATCAGGATGGATAGGCAAGCTCGAGGATTCAACCGGGATGAGGCACTTAAGGTGATTTGATTTGATTTTTAAACACAAAAACAAATTGATCAGAAAATCAACCTCCCGCCAAAAAAAATCATAAAACACCACATAGTCTGCCATAGATCCTTGATGTCCATTCACGGAGTCGAACTATAGGAGCATAGTAAATAAAATTAACTTCGTTTCTTTCAATAATTATAAAAAATTTAAACTAAAATATTTCTTCCATTCAGGCGTATTTATTAATTACATTGAAGAAATATTGCTAATCAATCATTTAAGGCGATTTTCTGCGTTTTCACTTTCGTGTACTTCGCTTAAATCTATATATATAAAAATGAATTGCTGTTCGTTAGTCTCGCTAAAACTCGAGAACGGCTGGACCGATTTGGCTAATTTTGATCATGAATTATTTGTGGAAGTCCAGAGAAGGTTTAAAAGGTAGATAAATATGAAAATGCTCGGAACTAAATAAAAATAACAATTTTGTTTTTCCTTTGATGTGTCCCCCGTCGGACGGACTCCTTTTGTTTGTTTTAAGTTTATTTTATACAAAAGTTCAGGTTTTTTATTTATCAACTGAGGCACTACGAAGTCTGCCGGGTCAGCTAGTTATATATAAATTTATTATACGGATTTCATAAGTGGTAAGAAAATTGTTATGGTTTTTAATGAAATAGAAACAAATAGTTAACGAACAGTTTGCGTTTAATGTTACTAAAGAGCTTAATGTTACTTATTAAAATATTTTCGATTATATTAATTTTTAGTTACGATGAAAAAAAACAAAGTGATTTTAAAATTTTCAAAGAAGGTTATTATAACGTTTTGGTTTTATCTAAATGATGTAGGAAATAGCAAAATCAAATTTTAATCTAGTGACAGTGCGTATTGTAAGCCCGCTCGAATAGGTACCACCATCTCGCCTATTTCGGTCGCGAAGCAGTTAGGCGTTCCGGTTTCAAGGATAAGACTAAACAAGGGTATATTCATTGAAGATTCGAACTCATATCTCGAATCTGGTGGCGCCTTTCACATTAGAATATCTAGGTATAGCTACCAGTTAAGACCTTACACTGATGAGTGGGCCGTAAGCTCGTTCGACTCTATACACTGTAGACTGAAAACTACACATAATTTATTCTTAGGTATAGTGTTTTATATTAGTAACTCATGATTCAGGGATGCTATCAAAAATAACTTATGCTGCTTTCAGACAACGCTATACTATAGTGCCATATACTATAGCAGCGTATACTTAACATAATATTAATTATATAGTACAGTACAGTGTGAACGTGTCCTCAATGTATGGTGCGCGATATTGTTGTGCTATGAGCTATATACTATATGCTATTATATTATAGCGTAGTCTGAAAGCAGCTTTAAACGTGAAATGAAACAGCACAGTATCTAGGTAACAATATATTTTGTCATTTATGACAAACAACAACAGACTACAACATGGATCTTTTTTCAATGAAACATCTGTTCCTAGCAAAAAATATCATATCATGCGATATCAACACATAAATAGGTAGCTATTTGTAGATTATGTTTACAATATATTTAACAGATAAATCCAAATAAATAGAAATTCACAATAAAATGAATCATGTTAAAACTATGGATCTTGAAATTAAATTTTTGTTGGATACACAATCTTCTACAGGCAATTCATTTATTGCTGTAATTGGTGTAATAACAGCAACGGTGTTGCTGTTATTTTAATCTCACTCATGTGATCAAATTCTTTTTTTTGTTAAGTTATATCCAAAAAGGTTTTACAGTTACAAGAGTTACTGAGCGATTTCATTAAAAAAGTTTTGTTTGAATCAGCCATATTTAAAATTACGTACGTTAGGAAAAACCAAATGCAAAAACAAATGGACGGCATAGAATATTAGGAAATTGTGAACTCATTTAATATGTAATAAAAGAGTAATGTTAGAATATAAATATTCATAATATACATAAAAATTAAATATACTATATAAAGGCAAGTTTGATTAATAAACAGGGCTCCATCTGAATAATTATTCATTAAAAATTATTTTACATACTGTTTATATTCTCTTGAAATGTCAGCGAAGTATATACTTAAAATATTCCATAATGTTAATAAATTTTAACTTTATTATGTTTAAAACTGTTTATGTATGCATTGGCCTGTTCGTATTTATGTTATATGGTCAATTGACTGAAACAGAGGCCGAAAAACGGCTTCATTTGTAAGAATAAAACTTAAGTTAGATACACTATTCACATTAATTAAAATCTAAAAATTAATTACATTATCCGTATAAAATATAATTAAATCTGTGCACAATCGATGTTGCTTACGCGACCCAAAACAGTTCGGGGTGAACGTAGATAGAAACACGATTTTATAAATAGAGACGTTTATCGGTTCATTAACGGTTTTTTAATCTGTAGTAACATTCACTTCCTTCCTTTTTTTATTCAATTGAATAGCTCTATAACATTTAAAAAATATATTAGGATTTTTTTAATAGGGATGCTGACTGTAATGACAAAATATGTTTTTATAATGTGAATACTCTTGATGGAAACTTCAACTAAATTATTTTGTATAAATACCTACTAATACTAACTTACCATAGATAAATAGTAAGTTAGAAACAATAAAGAATATTTTATGTAGAAGCCCCTCAAAGTTTTTTATTGCATTCGAAGAGCACGCAGTTTATCACGATCGCTCGTAATTTGAATCACTTGTAATTTTATTGAAAGAGTATTTTTTTATCAGTTTTACTAATGCAATTGTACTAATCCTTCTTTTCCAGTCTCGAAGGATGGGCTTACAAATGCTGAAACTTTGAATTGACTTTATATTTTAACATTACCGACATACAAACTAGAAGTTACAAAACGGTATACTGCTTAGCGTTTGTTATCAGAATACTCTGGAAAATTACCGTTAGTAAACTCGCGCTTGGATCATATATTATTACCAAATTATTATTTTTACTGGTGGTGTTGTGAGTCCGCACGGGTAGGTACCACCGCCCTGCTTATTTCTGCCGTGAAGCAGTATGCGTTTCGGTTTGAAGGGTGGGGCAGCCGTTGTAACTATACTAAGACCTTAGAACTTATATCTCAAGGTGGGTGGCGCATTTACGTTGTAGATGTCTACGGGCTCCAGGGACCACTTAACACCAGGTGGGCTGTGAGCTCGTCCAACCATCTAAGCAAAAAAAAAAAAAAAATTTTTTTTAAATCTCTCGCGGACCAAAAGTCGTCTTTGTGATCTTTGCGACACACAATCGTTTATCTGAACGAACAATCAACTTATTTATTTTCGTTTTCCAATATAATTTTGATAAAAAGGTTTTTATTAAGTCGCTTTCAGTATTATACTTAATAGTAGCTACACGAAAACACAGCATTCATAACAATACACCTATGCTAATACTAAGAAACTTAGGTATAGGGGTAAACATCAAGGTAACATTAATGCAAAAAAATGTATTACCAAAATCCAAAACCGTTAATCAAATCAATTTAAATCTGAAATAGAACAACAGTTCAGTATCTGTCGAACCGCGAATACAGTTGAATGTGTAAAGATTCCACATTCAATGGCGCCAACTAAAGCTTAGCTCTAGTTTTGTGTACTAGAAGCAGATATACGAGCAAAATAATGAGTACATTTTTAACAAAACACTGTCACTGCTATTGGGACCCAATCCTATGGAAGCGGAGTCAGGGTCAATATTTAATCGACCATGGAGAACATCAAGATTCTTACCATATATTCTATATTCGTTTGTATTTCGAACGAATTCGTATTTTAATTAGCATACAAATAAGATTACAAAACTCATGTCTCAAACAAAGCGACTGTATTTACCTCTATCTATATACGCCAAAAAAAAACTACTTAAAATGTGTGAGACTTGTGCAGAATCTCTCTCTATGAACTACTTTTTATTTATTTTTTCTTGTGCATATATATTAAGTAATTTTGAATGGAAGCGCCAAACAGAAATTTTAGTAATTTTATTTATCTACCAATTGTAAAATCAAATTTTACCTGCAATTCTCGATAGCGCCCCTGTTTAGTTCATACCATTAGTATTTCATAGTAAATGGCATCATACTCGCAGTTATAATATGATATTAACAAATATGGGCGTTTTAATTATTGAATGCATTAAAAAAAGATTAATTTTAAACTTCGTTTGGAATATAGTCAACATCCCTATTTAAAAATTGATTCATAATTTTTTAAAAGCTTAATTCATTTAGCGATTAGTGATGTAGCTCGATTATATTATATAGCTAATTTTATTAATGTATACAACAATAGTAATGTATCTATATTTTGCTGCAGTTTCTGTAATATTTCACTGTACATATAATTAATGAGGGATTGTAAAACGCTTTTGGCACTAACTTCAATAATTATATTATTTTTTACAATACATTGAAACACGATATTTACAGCTTACGAATCAGTATATTTACAGCAACATATGTATTAATTAGCTCAAAGAAGGAATAGTATTTCAAGACTACAGTGCGCTTAGTGCCCCTACGTTCGCCGCTAGGAGTGCTGATCCAACTCCATCCATACAAATTTGAGTAAACTTTTACGCGATCGAGAAGTTAAAAAACTCGCACTAAGCACACAGATGTAATAATAATACACAGAGCATGAAACATTTTTACATAATACGAATAAATACGAATATATGGAACGTGTACAATATCTATAGCTGTATGTAATTTTAAAAAGCTTTAGTATATACCCACTTTAATTACATTGGGGAACGCAGTCATATTAAGTTAAAATATAGTTCATAATAGCTTAAACAATTATTGTTTTCCAGATTAGATGTTACTTCTAAATGATTTGTATATAAATCTCATTTGGGTGCCGAAACAGTACATTGATTCTAATATCTAAAATAACATTTGATTATATTGCACACATTCACTTATTTACTATCTTTTTAATTATAGAATGGGCTAAAATCCCTCTCCGCCAAATTTTCGTAAACTCACCGCAAAACTACCTAATGGAATGACAATGTAAGACGCATGATTAGTGTCAGAACTCGCTAAGCAAACTAGGAAATTCATAATAATATATCTATTTCCACACAATTAGCAAAGATACATTTGAATATTTAATTTAAAATTTGAATGCATTTAATTTAAAACCATGTAGATCCTCAATGTTTCTGCAAATCGTTTATAAGTTAAGTTAGAAAGTAGAAAGTTTGCTTAGGAGCGCGTCACGTGCTGCAGTCTGCAAGCTCTGCTCTACTGATGACGACGATGATGTAGCGCTAAGGCTGCTCAGTCGTGACTTCGGTTATATACCAGCACCATTAGCTCATGCTATGATTGATGGCGTGGTGGATATCCGCGTTCACGCAAACAATAGAATCGGTACAACGAGCTGGGATGAGTGGCTCGTGAACTCCAAATCAACGTTGATGGCACACGGATGACGTGACAGCTCGGTGTGGCGCAAGCACTGATCGACCACTACTGACAAACTACCGATGTGAACATGGAGCGTTTTCAATAGTGTGATAGATTCCTTTCCATAGCACCAATGCCGTTCGGTAAAACAGCGCGAATCCTTGAAAAAAAATATGGCTTTCGTGAGAGATTTCTGAAACTACTAATTCTATTAAAGTTAGTTTTGGATCGACTATCAAACGACTACCAGTTCGAGATCGTGATCGATGCGTGAAGATTTTAGGATGATCTTATCGTTATCGGTAAAAGAGAGATTCTTTATAAAATTCAGTCGCTGACTACTTTTAATTTTCTTGATTTCTTTATTCTAGAAAACATTTAACAAAATTCACTTCGGCCCGTCCAAAATTTGTTCCGTTAGGAAACAGGAACCGACTTAGTTTACGAATTAGAACATTCGGGGCAGTGAACATTGCAAAACTTCCTAAAATTTTGACAATTCTTCTAGATCGAACCAATTTTTCGCCTCCCTTGTGCCATTAATTTTGCATAGCCTACTGATTTACCTGCATCGTATTTTCGCCATTGTTCTCATATCAGTCCGTTGCAACGTCATATTATTTGAAATATGGCATGTTGATCATCATCGTTAATCCGATCGTATGACATCCCGTAGAGCGGAACACGCTTTCATTTTCAACCACAAATCAAACACGACCTTTACCTTTCTGCTTTTCAGTTTAATAAGCTTATCCGCAATACAAATTGTTCTTCTATTTAGTTTGAAGATAGGAATTCGGATAGAAACGTAGGGTAGGATCGTGTTGGGTTCGTATGTTGTTGAAGAGCGCATTTAGAAGAGCATGTGGCAGCGCAGGTTGGAGTTGGCTATTCCGTGGTGTGCGCGGTGAGGTCGACCCCCAGAATCCCGCTGCCCAGCGGGACCGGTGGGTCGCTGGCGGGGAGGGACAGTAGATGTTAGGCCTCCAGAAATATTAAAGCTGTTGGCTTCGGTTCCAAGTTCGACTTTTTTGCTTCCACGACGAGGAACTCGATCTCCTATAAATAACCAAAATCATCCTTAACATATTTGACATATGATATGGTCAAGTATTGGATTGCGTTTTTTAAATGATGATAATACTAATATTGCACAAATCTGTACGAGTGTATTCTACATAATTCCTGTCATTAAATATTGTGAACTAGTTAAACAATGGAACAAAATATTTTTTCTAATAAACGGTAAATGACAGTGCCCTAAAATGTGGACTTATGAAGATTGCAAGAACCTGGTTTGGCAAATTATTATTTAATACAAATGTCAATTGGCATTGTCATTCAGATCGGGAATCGAATTTTAATAATTTATAAGAAACGTTGTCAGCTCGTAAAGGCAATCTGAAATAATATAAAAAAATAACAGGTCCCAGAAAATTGGTAAAATACTGTCTGACTGAAAAATATTCATAGAAGACAGTTAATTAGTAAAGTGCGACTCGGCGCTGCGCTGTTTGTTATCTTTCTAGCATCGACCATACTAAAAAAACTCCAAGTCTCTTTATTTATTTTTTGTCCCAATGAACACATTATTAGCGTGTCTGTCATTGCACCCGAACCTCGGTCAAAGCACTGCTGATAGTAAAGCTTCTTCTTAAGCACCTTGTGAAGGAGATAGAAATTTTGGCATAGCAAGATCATTACAAATTCTAATGACGTATTAACGTTGAGGAGGTGAAAATCTCTGAAAACTTACTCTGATTTAAATAAGTCGATTAAAACTAGTAAACCTCATTAAGTAAAACGTTATGTCCAGATAAAATGGTAATTATGAAGTTTAGCTTCTCGCAGTAGTCTTTGGTGGTAGAAGGTGAAGTAATGAACGAGAGTGTACTCACTGGTTTATCTCTTTGCGCGAATGACTCTGCAATAAGTCGCGCGACGTCCTGATGTTGCATGCCCTCCACGCGGTGTCCATCAACGGCCAAAATCAGCTGGCCCACCTCTAGTCCTCCAGCCTCGTATGCGGCTCCATGTTCCTTTTGGTATTTAAAAGAATTTAGAGCCATTATAAAGTGTTAATAACAATTATAAGGTAGTATCAGATCAATTGCTGAGAATGGTGCGGTCTGTCATTACATTTCATCTATACCTATATTAATACATGAAGCAAATACTTTGTACCCCTTTTTACGAAAATTGCGTGGACCGATGAGTATGAAATCTTCCACACTTATAGTTTATATAGAGAAGAAGTACAAAATTTCTCACTGGTGGTAGGACCTCTTGTGAGTCCGCGCGGGTGGGTACCATCACCCTGCCTATTTCTGCCGTGAAGCAGTAATGCGTTTCGGTTTCAAGGGTGCGGCAGCCGTTGTAACTATACCTGAGATCTTAGAACTTATATCTCAAGGTGGGTGGCGCATTTACGTTGTGGATGTCTATGGGCTCCAGTAACCACTTAACACCAGGTGGACTGTGAGCTCGTCCACCAATCTAAGCAATAAAAAAAAAAACCAATTTTTTTAATTGGGCATAAAAATACATTAAATCAATAAAAAAAAATACATACACTACCATGTATTTAACACACACACATATACTTTTTTGTTTATTGTTAAAGTCTGTGGTCAAATTGAGAATAGATTAATATTGTTTGTCTTCAATATTATATACCAAACTATAGTGTAGCCTTGGCGAAATTTGTTATTATAGAGGTCTGTGATAGTCTTATAATTTAAATTAATTATAGTCGAATTTCGACTACCTACGGGACGACCACTAGTTACTATTATTGTTGTCTCGGTCTCGGTAAAATATTATTCTCAGTATTTCATTAATGACAGATTGTCGCTAAATAAATCTATTTCATTATTATTTCCATAAAGAGGTGAAGGTATGATGAAGTTTTTTTTATTTTTTTGTTGCTTAAATGTGTGCAACTGCTCTCGGTCCACCTAGTGTTAAGTGGTAAGGTGATTACCGGAGCCCATAGACATCAACAGCGTAAATGCTGTCACCTACCTTGAGACATGAGTTCTGTTCTCAGTTTCACAGTACATCATGCCCCGCTCTTCAAATCGAAACGTATTACCGCTTCACGGTAGAAATAAGCAGGGTAATGGTACCTATCTGTGCAGGCTCATAAGACGCCCTACCACCAGTAATGACGCAAATTATAATAATCGCGGGTTTGATTTGTGTTAAGTACATGATGTTTTTCTTTCATCGCTGAAGTTATTCGTGAGCATTTGTTAAGTATGTTTTTCATTAGAAAAATTGGTAACAGATTGCGGGATTCGAACATTGACACATTCACATCACTCAATAACAATGCACTGGGCGTTTTACTTTGTTAGACCACGACGACTTCATGAGTCGGCGAGACGATGCGTTTGTATGCATTGGGTTCAATGATGTCATTTCGTAAAAGAAAAGAAGATAAATAGTACGTGTTTCGTTAGTTTATTAATTTATTTTTTTGAGGTTAATCGTAAAACAATAAGGAGAAAGGAGGTTGTTCTTTGTATTGATAAACTTACATGTATATTTATAATTCGAGGTAGTGGATGTTTGGTGTTAGCACCGCCTTCTATCGCTATGCCGAGTATTGGTTTAGTCTTTTTAACGGTGATGTGTAAGTTTCCGTGGTGGTCCGATACGACCCTAGCTGCTCGACTTTCATCGGTCTGCTGATCTCCGTGCTGTAGACGCTGCATTGACTGATGCCTTCGAATTCCTCCTCGATCATCAATCAGAGCATTGCCTTCCTCCTTCATGTCGAAACTCCGAGACATCTTATGTGCTAGCTCCTGAGAGATAATGAAAAACATAATTGATTCATACGTTATCATAAAATACAGAATATTCTTAAGAAATAAATAATTTAATTGAAGAAAATATGTACAGAATGCAATTAACCCTATAAAACTCCTAGTACTAAAATACCACATCCACACTAAAATTTGTACCTCTACGTTACTATGAAGAGCAATTTCAATTCAGCCGCTAAGTACGAATATTGTTCTAAAGTACTGAAATGTAGCTAAGGGGCAAAGGGCAGTTGGACGACACATTCCTTATTCCTGGTCAGTAAGACAAAGCAGGAACATTGGCTGATGGACGCAGACACGCCCTTCTGCCTCTCAGTTACAATTAATTAATTAGTAGAGATATAAATGTATTGAGAAGCTGTACGTGAGATGTGTGCTGGAGGCTCAGATTTCATGCGTTTCGATCACTCGGTGGCGTGGTTTCAATTGATATTTGTGTTTAACAACTGTCGTGTATTCATGGAGAATTTCCGCCTATCTACCAAGTAGATTCAATAATTTTGAGCAATTTAATAAAGGCCTCAGATGCAGTTCAACCTACGAATTAACCCATCGTGAAACAAAAGCAAGAAGATTAATTTTTTTCTCTGCACAAGTAGCCACCATGCGTTAATTTCATCGCATAACCAAAAATAAGAATAAATAAAATGAAATTATATTGACTCGTTGTTGATTAATATTTAAATAAAGGAAAATATTATGTTCGTCTTAACTAATTTTCATGCATCAATTTAGCTGGATTTATTGATGACCTAAGAAGTTATTACCTCTACGGGCTAATGAATTTAAGAAATCGTAATGAGAAATCATCAAAGTGTGCGACACTACATTGAAAAAAAAAAAGAAATGAAATCAAAATTTAGGCGATCAAATTAACACCGAAATAAAGTGCAACGATAAAAGTGAAAATATAATGTAATCAATTGTTCTAACACCAAGCAATTGTTTTGTCTGTGAAGCGAAAAATTTCCGATGAAAATTTCCAATCGATTTTTTTTTTAGTTTCGTGCAAATGTAAAGAATCGTCAATGTGCTATAGGACAGATCGTTGGTCAGTCAGGCGGCGAGGCCGGGCCACTTACTAGAGGTCGTCCCCAGTACCATGACTTTACTTTCTGCGTCCAGCCACCGAGTGATGAGCGCAGCCCCTCGAGATAGCCGCACTGAAACATCACACTCACTCAGGACCAGATAACTAGTCGATGCGACACTCTCTGCTCTCCTATGTTATGCTGTTCCTAAAACCACCCTGTTCCATGTCTTTGATGTTACAGTGACGCTCAAGCTAGTTAGCGTATAATCTACTATAACATAACTGTCATGTTTTTCGAACGATTTTTAAAATACAAGCTATTTAATCGTCTTTATTTTAAGATAAAATTAGTTCTAATAACTCATCGTTAAGGTACATACCTTACCTAACATACTATTAGTTATTATTATTCTAATATAAAAATAGCGATATCTAATCAATTCTACTGAGCCATACGATTTGGAAGACATTCAAACCCTTTGATTTCGAAATATCAAAATAAAAGACAAATATTATCTATATATAAAAATACGTACCTGATCCTAAATGTATTGAAATTTGTGTGCGTGAAACAATTAACACAATAAATTCAATTAAATATGTTTTTTCTGTTGCTGTCTGATGTCTTTGTTATTGTTTATTGATTGATGGAAACAGAAAAAAAATGTTTTTAATGTCAACATAATAATCCTTTTTTGAATTCATAATGACAACAAACTTTGTTTACAATATATTTTGTTGTTTCCGCCAGTCAAAAACCGTGTTGTTATTGCGTACTATTTTCATTATTTATCCGGACGAAAACAACTCGGATAGTCGTAAGTAACGCAAGTGCGACAGTGCGTCTCGTTAGTGTCGTACTATAAATAAATGCGATAAGATCAGGAGACATCGTTCTACGCGCACACACTCAATCCACTCCATACAGATGAAGTATCACTATTATTTGTTATCTGATATATGTTTATGTACTACCATACGCGAATATTCAATTACATAACTCAAAAGGGAAAGCCTTTAAAGGAAAAACCTGTATTACATGAAATTCTCGATTTTAATTACTATCTTGTACTACTATTTTTTGATGGACACTGAAATAGAGCGCTTCCAAAAAAAGCGTTAGGTTTTTTCTTTCAATTAGAGCAATCGTATTTAACAGATATCACTCAAACATGAGTTGTATTATTATATTCAATTGCCATTTGCTATATTCAACGGCAATTTCAACTATTATATTCAATTGCATCTAGTGTTTAGTTTAGTAAAATGTCTACTTTACATTTCCACTTTATATTGAGTGATTGAGTACGAAAATGTAGCCCCTTTTCTTATTGTGTGTTTAATTGGAATTAACAAATTGCTATCACTAGACAGAGCGCTTTAAGTCTTCGTGAGGTTCGTCGTACACCCTTACGGGGGCACGAGGCGGGCTTCAAAACGAACCCAACTGTCCGGGCAAGCTTTACGTGGCTAACGGTGATTATAGACACCACAACTGTAATGCCGCTGCCCGTTGTCAGACAGAGACATGAGCTCGAATTCTAAATAGACTTGTATTAGAATTGTCCTACTTTTCAACCCAGAACGTTTGGCTACGTCACGGTATAAATTAGTACGTTTGTGGTATAGTAAAATATTAATTACATGATATTATCGCCGTATTGCGGCAGTAGTTCGTGAATGCGTGTTTAACTCCTGTCATGGGATTTGAAACTCAGTACAGTTGCTTCTATTAGGCGTAATATCGGTTAAGACATACGTACTATTTCATAACAATAAAGCATCGCTTGCAGCTTGACGGTGTGGTTGGTCCCTGAGGTTGGAAATGCACATTTATATACGTATTTTAAACGACTAAGTCCACTCTGTCATATGTCAACTATTGGTGTGAGAATAAGTCGTAATAATTTTAGGTAATGTTAAATATGTGGCCTACCTAATCTCCATCTATAATTATGTACATGTAACGTACATTAGTTAGTGTTATAAAGACCGTAACGGTGTGCCTCGCAGAGATCACACGTGCTAAGTTTTTAGGGCGTGACGTGACGTAGATGATGCTTAGGATAAACATCGTGGATACATAGGATATATAGAATACGTGGATACGAATTGATATGTAGATATATAGAAAATAGGATAAATATTTGTAGTCATCGTGGCCTAAAGGATAAGACGTCCGGTGCATTCGTGTTGAGCGATGCACCGGTGTTCGAATCCCGCAGGCGGGTACCAATTTTTCTAATGAAATACGTACTCAACAAATGTTCACGATTGACTTCCACGGTGAAGGAATCCCATCGTGTAATAAAAATCAAATCCGCAAAATTATAATTTGCGTAATCACTGGGGGTAGGACCTGTTGGGAGTCCGCACGGGTAGGTACCACCACCCCGCCTATTTCCGCCGTGAAGCAATAATGCGTTTCGGTTCGAAGGGTGGGGTAGCCGTTGTAACTATACTGAGACCTTAGAACTTATATCTCGAGGTGGGTGGCGCATTTACGTTGTAGATGTCTATGAGCTCCAGTAACCACTTAACACCAGGTGGGCTCGTCCACCCATCTAATAAATAAATAAAAAAAAAATGGCTTGAAGGATTTTCCGTAAGTCGTAAACGTATATCAAAATCACTTTTATGGTTTAATTCAGATTTGTCTCAATTACTTACGTTGCCCATCGTCTGCAATAGCTGAAACTGTGATAATTCATATAAGTATTCTAAAAAAAATACGCGACTTTTTATGGCTTCTAATGTTATCAATTTTCTTATATTTTTTCATTGTTCAGTAATGTGAGTGAAGATCTGTATGTAACCATACTAGCTACTCTGCATGTAGAAGCCTCCGCATCCACAGTTATAATTGTCGCGAACGGTAAAAATTTATTACCATTTGAATTTCCAATGTACATGTTATTACTATCTAGGCCGAAAATCCGTTAAACTATTTGTAGAAAATGAACTACCATTAATAATTCTCTTTAAAATTACAGCTATGTCATTTCTCGCTGTGGTAAGATACAATATTTAATGCCACATAGTTTGGAAAAATATTAAATATATATGTACAACTTTAAACGCTACCTATTTACTCATTATATGTATTATGAATCGACATGAGGAAGTGTTTGTTAACTATTTCTGCAGCGAAGCATTCATACATTCTTTTTCCCTACCTAATCATTGGTATCCTAAACAGCTATTCCAAAAAGCGCTATATGGTATGTGATCCTCATGGGAAACACTTGCTAACACTAGCCCCATGAAGAGCAATGCTTTTCTGAATGTACCACCTAATCGAAATCGCGACTCACTGAGTAAATCCGATGAGAAATTCAGTGGATTATGTTTATGCGCTACGTTGCACGTTGGACTCTTCGTCACATTCGACGAGAACGCAAAAGGGCCGAGAGTGGATCGAGAGGGTTTATAGAATAATGCATTCTATCTTTCTATTTTAGCCTATTTTTCGATAAAAGCTTTTCTTGAACATATTTTTACCATTCATTTCAAATAGAACGAAGAGAAACTATTCATTAGTTCGTTTGTTCGACAGTAAAAAGCTTAGAATAAACCGAAAACTAGTTTTATTTATATTTTCAGCTCGCGTAAGCCGAAAAATACATAATCAGGCAGGCATGTGAAGGTTGGGAGGGTGGAGTCACAATAGGTGAAATTACATTATCAAACCTCCGCTACACAAATGACATCACACTTCTTGCTGCAAGTGAAATCGAGATGGTGAACGTCCTAGCGCGGATTGAGAACATCAGTTTGCTGTGAGGTCTAAAAATCAATCATAGCAAAACCAAAGTAATGATTGTGGATCGTACCAACAGCGGCAACAGCCTTGAACTACCGGGAACGCTGAACCTTGACATCGAGAGCGACTTCGTCTACCTAGGGTCTAACATTAATAATACAGGATCATGCGAAAAAGAGATATGTAAACGTATAGGGATGGCCAAAAATGCAATGTCCCTTTGCACAAGATATGAAGAGACCGTAACATCTCGCGAAAAACTAAAACCAAATTGGTGAGTTCGCTAGTTTTCTCCATATTCAGTTATGGAGCGGAGACCTGGACATTGAAAAAGGCCGACAGAGACCGAATAGACGCCTTTGAAATGTGTAGCTGAAGGAAAATGCTACAGATTCAATGGACCTTTCGCACCAACGTGTCTATTCTGAGAGAGCTTAATAACAAAACTAGACTTTTCACTATATGCCTTCGTAGTGTGCTGGAATTCTTCGAACATATTACTCGTAAAGAGGGTCACAATTTTGAGCAGCTGATGGTGACACACAAGGTAGATGGCAAACGTCCCAGAGGACGAAGTCCCACGAGATCACGAGATGGTCGGATCAAATACGATCTTCTCTAAACATCACCTTCCACAATGCCCTTCATGAAGCTAAGCAATCGCAGCAGAACCGAAAGTGAGCTGCGGGCGCGGAAGGCCCATTCTCGGCGGTCCGTGCTCGAGTCGTGGTCGAGGCGATTGGCCAACCCCACGTGGGGGCTACGGACCGTCGGGGCGTTTTACCCGGTCTTTGATGACTGGGTGAATCGTGGCGAAGGACGTCTCACCTTTCGTCTGGTGCAGGTGCTGACCGGGCACGGATGCTTCGGGAAGTACCTGCGCCGGATAGGGGCTGAGCCGACGACGAGGTGTCACCATTGTGGACACGACCTGGACACGGCGGAGCATACGCTCGCTATCTGCCCCGCTTGGGAGGTGCAGCGCCGTGTCCTGGTCGCAAAGATAGGACCTGACTTGTCGCTGCCTGGCATCGTGGCGTCGATGCTTGGCAGCGATGAGTCATGGAAGGCTATGCTCGACTTCTGCGAATGCACCATCTCGCAGAAGGAGGCGGCGGGGCGAGTGAGGGAAAGCTCTCCTCACTACGCAGAAACCCGCCGCCGCCGAGCAGGGGGTCGGGACCGGGGTTGTATCCGTGACCTGGCCCCCTAAGAGCTAGGGGTCCCACCCGTTTTGTGCGGGGAGAGACCCAGACGTGGGGTGGCGTGCTTTGCACGCTCACCCGCAATAGGAAGCCGGGTGATGGCAGACCGCGTTCCCCCGACCGCTCTAGGGGAAGGTGTAACGCGGCGCCATCAAAGCGGGCTCTCGGCCCGTTGAACGAGGGAACCGGTGGTCGTGTCGCTGGCGGCCACCGGTACGGCGTCCGTGGGACGGTGGGATGGATGTAATGTGCTCTGCGTCAACCCTGTCCCGCCGTTTCAATAGCCCCGACTGGGCTCCGGCCCGGTCCGAGGTAGGGCGCCGGTGGTGAGCGGCAGGAGTTTTTAGTGAGGTTCAACTCCCACATACCCCACCTGCCGCGCGGGTGGGGATCCGGCGATTTTCTCCTGTGGAAAAAAAAAAAAAAAAAGCAATCGCAGCAGATGGAGGGAAATTGTACGGGAGAAACTGATGCAGCTGGGGAATCACGACCCTCAGTAATGGGGAAAACGACGCGAGGAGGAAGAGAAAACCGAAGAAAATACTAAAATGTTTGCATAGGTGTAATGTAAAAGCAAAACGGGAGTCGAGCCGTCAGTGAAACTCCTCGTAATGTCGAGTCTCACAAAGCCTACATTACATTTCACTTTTACCAAGCGCGCTGAGTACGCTTGACTAATCGCTGTAAACGTTTGATTTAACGAGAACTAGCTTCCAATTTGTCCAATATAAGTATTAAGTACTTACTTGATGTTTTTTTAAATACGATATTTCATACTTGTCTGTTTATAGAGTTGAAATTTTATAAATTTCAATATTGTTTTCCCTGTGGTTTTTTCAGAAACGTTTCAATTGTTTTACTTACTGTTCTTTTCGTATTTTTGACAGCAAAGTTTCCGAAGGTAATTTTTTGTAATCGCAGGCAATTTCAATAATAACTAAATATTTATTTTTATTTCATAGGTATAAGAGCCATTTGAACTCGTCGTGGCCTAAAGGATAAGACGCATGGTGCCTTCGTATCGAGTAATGGGACTGTATCGGTGTTGGAATCCCGCAGGCAGGAACCAATATTTTTAATGAAATACGTACTTAACAGATGTTCACGAATAACTTCGGCGATGAAGGAATAACAGATGATAGGGAGTCTTGTGAGTCCCTATCGGTAGGGTTTTTTTTTCGTGCCGGATCCGAACCTCCTAAGAGGTCATCCTCTCCTCCTCATATCCCATATATGATAGACTGGTCTGCGACTGCGAACCACGGGCCTAAGGATGATCGGTGGGTACCACAACCAACGCCTCTTCCTGCCGTAAAGCAGGAAAGCATTTCGGTTTGTATTATAAAACTGTAACTTAAACTTCATGTCTCAAGGAAGGTGGAAGCATTGACGTTGTCGATGTGTATGGGTTCCGGCAACCAATTAACATCAGGTAGGCTGTGAGCTCGTCCATCTATCTTAAAAATAAAAAGCCTCTTTCATCTAGTCGCAAATATCTGGCTGCCGTCACTTACGTAAGCGAAACCAAAGCGATCCTTACCATAACTTGCACTTACCTCATTTGAATAGAGGAGGTATCTCATTAGAATACTTAAGCGGGATTACCGTTCCCTTTGAACTCGGGTCAAACTTTCTGATTTGCTAAAACTTCTAAATAATTCGACTCGCTTTTGAAATTGTTTTTTACAGCAATAATTCTAGTTACAATTATTTATAATTTTACGTGACATTCCGAATAGCACACAATGGAAAATAATTCAATGGTTTTGTAGATAGGATTTCTGTCTTTACCGACTCAACCTGCGATAATAAAGTTCAATTATGACTATTTCGGAAGCAGTCATAGACAAAAACCGTTTTTGATGGCTATGTTCGACAAAACACTTTAATCTAATCTATAAGACAGTAAAAATATAAACCTACAATATGACAATTGACAAAGGGCTAAATAAAATTCGATGGTTCAAATTTTTGGCTGAAAAAAAATGGAAAATAATATTATGTGGGACGAGAACTGAGCTTGCTTTCGACGTTAATTAAAATATTGGTTAAATTTGAACTCTCAATAAAGCTAGTCATTTCTGTGGATAAATTATCGGGCTTGGGCTGTAACATAATAATTGTGTCAATAGAACGGAAACTAAAATAAAGCTTCAATTAGCTTAAATAGCCTAATCTCGTTGAAAAATAAAGCATGACTTGAGGACACTGAAATTAAAATGATAATATAATTACGTATATCTTTAGAACGTCGCGGGAATCCCCTGGATGTGGTCTGCGGCAGACTCGGTCATTGTGGCGAACCGCAGGAGACCAGTGGATGTTTATGGGCTGATGATAACGATGATATGGTAAGTATATATCATTACATAAAAAATAATTAAAAATTCTAAGCACGATAAAAAAACATGCTTGTAAAGAGTGAAAACGTATTTCGCAATATACTTATTCAGGTGCGATTTGGAAAAGAAAAGCTTAAAACTCAAGAACAATGAACATAGAACTGGAACGGTAGACAATACAGCGACTTTTCACTTCGAACGAGATCCTTTTTGGTGCAAATTTACGTAACAGTTCGTTGGTTACACGTAATATGAATGACAAAATTATTTACGCGGTCTTTGACAGATGTAGGCGAAAAGATATTTCTTCTTCCAAAAGATAATTTTTCATGAATATGACAAAATGAATTTATTTTAAAGTTTTACTTTTCACTGACTACAAGAGAATGTTCTCAATCGGACCGTATGTTTTATTTATGAAATCACTAATCTTTGATCATTCATCAGGATGGGAGTAGTTGGAGGAAAGGCGGGGGTGGTCACTGACCAACAGGCCATTGCCCACTCTAAAAATCGATGGTATTGATGAAATACACTATTATCAAGGTCAATGAACTCCATTTTACGAAGCACCACTTTACATTAATAAAATAAGATAAATTAGTTATTATCAAAACCTAAATATTCTCAAAATCAATGTAGTCGACTCGTAATTAGTACATTAATTAATTCATAGAAATTAAAAAGTTATAGCAGCTGGCTGCTCCCACTACGAAAACTACCTAACAATGCTAATGCATCAGTTTTACAAACTTTAATTAATTATTAAAATCTTAATACTAAATAAACAAAAAATACGTTGTTAAAATCACGGTCCAACAAGCTGCTTTCGGCGGGCTGCTTTGTGAGCTGTTAATTTTTTATAAGTTGCCGGTGAACCATGGGAATCACAGGTGCTTGTTTTTATATTATCCGGTTTATCAAGTTTAAGTCATATTTATACGTCCACCTTGTGGGAACTAACGGTCCACAGATGCTGCTTCAACATATTGACATTACGTTTATTTAACATGAGCTTACGTATTGTTTTACTAAAACCACAGGAAAGTGAGAATAGCATGACTATTATTATTTTATGTGACTTTCTTGCTTTTCTCAAGCTTACAGATTTTGCACCGATAAAACCGAGCACAGTAAGCGAGTTACGTAACATATCCGCTTTCACATTCGCCTTCGTTCATAAACTTTTCATTGTAATATTGAAAACATATTTTCATTGGTACATTTAAATTATATAGCGTGTTTTAAAGGTGTCACCGAATACTGTCTCTGTTTATTGGTTGTGCATCCAGTTCACTATCGAGTGAACTCGATTCGCACGAGGCCTGCTGCGGCTAGCCCGCCAAACTCAGGCCAAGCGTTTGCTCATGGCCAGTCAAAATGTGAAGTTGGCCCAGTCTTGTTTCAAACGTCAACGCGTGTGCACGTGTTATTCCATATAAACATCCTTTTCTCAAAACTTGTTTACAAATAGGTGTGTAATTACGTAGACAAGCGGATAACCGTGAAAGGTAAGATTGTGAAATTAAGCCTGATATATTTGGTGGTTTTAATGCATACGTTATGACAACGTGAGACAATAATAAATTATTATAATGATTGGTCTCGGGTAAACAATATCCATGTGCTAGCTTTTGTTTTTTTAATTTAAAGAATTATAAATTTTTAGCAAAATGGTCTTAATTTTACTAGTTCCTTTAGTATATTTATGTATCCTTATTTATGCGTCCTCAGAAGATATCTTTTAGAAAATAATTTAGATCATCGATCAGAAATGTTACTATGTATAATGTAGTTCAGTAGTAAAAAAATCTGTCCTAAATTTCCATAAACAACAAAAAGGAAGTTAGTTATACGACACATAAAATGTTTTGTGCGTTTATCTATATATTAATACGTTAAGCAAAAACTTTGTACCCTTTTTTACGAAAATTGTGCGGACGGAAGAGTATGAAATTTCCCATACTTAAAGAGAATATAGAGGTGTGCAGAATGCATAAAATGCGTAAAAAATACATTACATCAATAATAAAAACATTACACACACTACCATATATTTGACACACACACACGCATATATATACTCGTTAATTGAAATAAAGTCACTCAGCCCTTTGCTTGTGATTTTAGTGTTAAAATTTATCAACTAACTATGATCATAAAGAATATTGAATTCTTCTTTTCTTTGTATATACTTTTGAATGGTACTTTATATATGTAACTACATAATATGAGCGTTTTTAGTATAAAATCCTATTTAATCTAGTTAGATTAATCTACTAATAAAATCAATAAAATGTAAAATAATAGTGGCGAACGTCCATGGCCTAGTGGTTAAGATGATCGGTGTCTTCAGCCGTATCGAGTTATGCAAGTTGGATGGATTAACATGGTTCAAATTATGCAGGCACGTACCAATATTTATAAAATAAATACGTACATAGCATATGTTCACGAGCGACTACGACGCTGATGGTAATCCATAGGGTATTAAAAATGAAAAAACATAAATACAGATGGAAATTGTTTTTGACACAGGTATATGAAATTTTCCAAAAAAAAGGTCTACAATAGTCAATTCTGTTGGGAAAGATCAAAAAGCAGCAAGCTATACGACATAATAAGTGTAATAACAAAAAAAAAATTATCTAGGTCGTAATGCAAAGCTTAATCAACGTGTTTAAACTTAGTAAAGGACAGTGTAAGCGGCCTTCAAGAACCGTCTATTATCCATTGTATTACTACAAGTTGTTGTGTACTGCGATGTATCGGGGATCCATGACACGCTTTCTACGATAAGAATGGGAAAACTCAAAGTAGACTAGCGATCGGGACTGGTGGCTTTGCGGATTCTTAAATGCAATACGCTCCGTCAATATCGGATATTGGTATTGGATTCCCAAATTGCGTTCGGTCTTTTGGCGAACGTGAAATTTTATCTAAATAAATATATACATTTTAACAGTTTCCCATACACTCTTAAATTTCGTATAGTAATTTATTCTTACGAAATAGTATTAAGCCACATGATATTTTACAACCTGGTCAAGGTTCTGAGTTAGTCGACAGCTGCGATTACATTAAACTGGGCACTATCTGTGCGTGTAATGCCCTACTTTGTAGTAGTATGGCGTACGTAAAACACGTATTGTGATCAGCCGTCGGAGACGTGAACGGTATATCTTTATTGTGATCAGTTCTATAGCAGAATAATCTTCGTACATAGTAACAATCGACGACAATAATCAAATTTATCTTGTGGCAACATTGGACAAGAAACGTCTCGCAAATCGTGAATCGAAGTCGTGATACTCGCAAAGGGGTTAATGTTACAAGTTACAGTGTCCCTTCCTTATAGGGTTAACCTGCCACGGACCGATAGCCTTCCGGGCCCATGAAAGTGCCGTTTACCGCGTCGAAACATAATTTACATCTTGTGTATTGTTAACTTTGTTACATTGTGTAACAATACTCGCATTCAAATGATTGCGGAAACAGTATTCGCGATATAATAACATGTAGGCACACATAGCTCAGTACTCACTACTGATGTGGAAATTTTACGTAACTGAATAAATACATAATACACATCAGCCTGTGCAATGGTTTACGTGAGAGGAGAGGGGAACACGGGCTTAGGCTATCTAAAATAATCCAGGGCTGATGCATCTCCTTAGTAACTTTAGTCGAGATTAGAAGGTCAAACCGGAACACGCCTAATACAAATCGAAATGCAGATTTAAGTAGATATTTAACTTGAAAATATGATGTTTAAAAAATATTAACATGTGAATTTGTGTCAATGCGGGTATGTATTATATAGGTGATAGAAAAATTGAAAAAATAAAAGGACTAAACCCACAAATTTTATTAAAGTACTAGCTGTACCCGACCGCTTCGCTGGGCATTTAAAATATTATTTCTCACCCCCACAAAGATTCTCATCATTAACGCCCCGCAACTGATGTAGGGAGTCCAACACTCCTATAAATATTAGCCTATCCATTAAGCACATGTATTTTCTACATGGATACCAAGTTTCAAGTCAATCGGATGCATGGTTCAGTAGTTATAACGGAACATCCGTAAAAACCAGTGCAGATTTATATAAATATTAGTATAGATAGATAATTTAATTATTTTTTTTCAAAATTATCGGCTGTTAAGTGGAGGTTGTTGTTTTAAAATAAACAAAGACAGGCAATTAGCATGATGGTGTGGGAGAGCTTGCGGCTCGTGACGTCTCCAGTTCCGCTAACCAAACAAGGCGGACGTTCACCGCCCTACCTAGTACCTGCTCATGTTGTACGAATACTGCTCATTAGGAAACTTAGGATAGTAACACCTAGCAGCTGTCCAACGTGAAAGACATTATGTAGGCACACTAGCCGGCCTGTACTTGACTTTTTTCTATATAAAATAAAGCCGTCTTTTTTTTTTGTCCACTGCTGGACATAGGCCTCCCCCAAGCCTTGCCACAAAGACCGGTCCTGCGCTGCCTGCATCCAGCGGATCCCCGCGAACCTCAATAGATCGTCGGCCCGCCTCACATCGCACCTGTTTTAAATAGTCCCCGGAGACTGTACGAACGAAGTCTGAATTCAATATACATATATTTACTAATAATTGGGTATATTATGAAGCCGTACGAGTAGATTCCATCAACTAGATAATTTGCACAGAGAAGTCGTGCGTCCCAGTTTGATGGGTGAGAGTGACATTACACATCAAACTTAAGGCTTCGGCTCGGGTCTCAAGGTCGATGGTGGCATTTACATTGGGATGTTTATGACATCGGCTTGTTAAGGTAGTTTTAAGTACGAATGTGGAAAGCTTTAGAAGAAGAAGTAGACTTAAGAAGAAATGAATCTATTGCGTGAAAGACGATATTTGTAAGAGGGAAGTAAGCGAAGAAATGGTATATAATAAGAGGATTATGGAAGGAGAAAACATGTTGCACCGACCCCAGGTGCCTGGGAAAAGGGCAGGAGATTGATGATGATGTTTATGGACATCAGTAAACACGTAAAACTTGGACAATGAGTATTTTCACTCAAGTAGTGGAGTAAATAAATAAATAATCAATTAATTTATAAGTAACAAATATGTACAAGCAAAATAAAAATAAACCTTACTTAACAGACCTTAACATACCTTGAAATGTAAATACTTTAGTGGATGCGGTAAATTCATGTCGCAACTGGAGTATAGTTAGTTTCCTTGAATTTTTTTATCACGCAGCTGCACGACATTTAAAAATATAATACTAATTAAAAGTTAATCCGTCACACGATGCATGAGTCGCGTGGGAAATGCATGCCGCGACCAATTGTCAATTAATCGGGAACAATATATGTTTCGACATCAATGTGAACACACATTGTATATTACAAGAGCATGGGAATCGTAAACATAGGTTTTACTGGTGGTAGGACCTCTTGTGAGTCCGCGCGGGTAGGTACCACCGCCCCGCCTATTTCTGCCGTGAAGCAGTAATGCGTTTCGGTTTGAAGGGTGGGGTAGCCGTTGTGACAATACTAAGACCTTAGAACTATATCTCAAGGTGTGTGGCGCATTTACGTTATAGATGTCTATGGGCTCCAGTAACCACTTAACACCAGGTGGGCTGTGAGCTCGTCCACATACCTAAGCAATAAAAAATAAATAAAAAAAAACATATACCTAATAGCATCGAAAATATATTCCTAATAGTAATAGTGAGCGAGGCACATAAACAGGTACACTTACTCACTATCACTAATACATTTGTAATGTCATAGAAGTAACGGTACACAATTGTCGAGGCAACAACTCTAACTAACACACTTACCTAAATGTAACCGACGGCTTGTTTGTCGTATATTTTTTTTCGAATCGTGAACATTTCTTAAGAGAAAGTCGATTAAGTGTATTTACCGACAGGTTAAGGCATCATCCGTTGCCTGCGTTAAACTTCACGATATACCTAAAAATTCTACTCTCAAATATATAAAGCAGATGTAGAGATTACAGAATTATAGCAGCTCTAAACTATTTAATTTGATTTATCATACAACGATATAAAATGTATCCTGGGGTCGATGTCCCGATTGTATAGTAATAGCGGTTCTCTTGCCCTTCAAACCGAAATTCATCACTTCGATGCGATGGTTGTATAATTATATTGAAATTAAACTATATTTATTAATTCTTTTTTTTAAAACATTATTTTGAAATTAAACCTTATTAACATCTGAATTGTGGTAACATTGGAAATTATTATATTAATATCGTTATAGAATTTCGTTCAGAAGAGTAATTTATAAAATTTATAATCTACAAAATATACAAGGGACAAAAATAATTTTTAAAAATAAATTAACTTTACTGTTTTGAAACAATAAGAAAAATAATTCGGAAACATTTAAATTATTCGAATCAATGTTAATCTGATTATCAGTCTGGCTTATCAGTTCTGGTTCACTAACTCACGAAGCAACATAAATATCAAAAGCTTTTAAGTCCGGTTGCGAAAATTAGTCTCGTGTTTTTGTTTCCTAATGCTTTTGAATGGAATCACTAATTTTGCAAAATTTTACTAACTCTTGATAAATATATATATCGATCATAATATATTCTATGCATTTTAATCAAAGTTTACGTGCATTCAGTTAATCAATTAATGTTTTATGAGGAACTCAATAGAATTTTGATGACAAAAGCCGCGGATGGGCGCATGCCATCTCACTTCCGGAAAGTCTGCTCACGTCACGCGGAACATGTACTGTCACTATGTAGTTAATTCCATAAATAATAACAATTGCTTCACTAAATGTAGCTAACACTACAATTACTTAATCGATTACATTTATGAGAATAGAGAGACCACGTTAATATTTATGATAAAGAATGTCGTGCAAAAAGCACATTTGTATAGAATATTTAATAAAAAGTCTTATCAAAATCTTGTTCTAGATACAAAACATAAAAAAGAAACGAAAGAAATGATAAATATCTCAATCACGACGAAATATTATCTTATTGCAATGAGCTGTGCATGACATGACAGTTTTTTTTTTCGTTTTTCTACAGATCACTCCTCTAGATTATTAATAGTATCAAACCTACTTAAAAAATCTGAAAACGAATTACAATCTATCTACTTATCAACATATCCATTTAAGCCGATTTTGTAAACGTGTCTGGTCACTGACTGGCGCCCACGTCTGTGAGTCATACATTCGTAATATTATACCAGGTACCAATTATGCTGGCCTCCGTGTAATTCGAAGTGTTGATTATGTTTCCACGTTGCTGTTATTAAACACATCTGAATCAGGCGGTCCACTTTCTCACATGTAGGTGTAACGACATCCGTGCGAGACAAGTCAGATCGAATAACTAGAAGCAACCAGCAATAGTTCCAATAATTCAGTTAACGCGTAGAGAAGGAATGAAATTTCGTATTTACAAATATTTTATTTAAATTAATATTAGTTAAATCTGAAATAACTATTTCAAATATAAGAATGCCGCTTCGACGTCGGGAATGGTATTAAACTGCTATAACAAAGAAATGAATTCAAACGCCCAAAAATATTGGTAATTTTGATAGGTTCACATGTAGCTTGTAATGTAATACGAAGTTGACTGGCAGCCGTAAACCATGTTCTCTCAAGACCGTACTATCCGCCAATCTTTACATTAGTAACGCAATTAGAAATTAAAAGGTAATCCTAGAAATCAAACTAAAATTAAGTTTCAGAATAGCTTCATTTTTTTCTGCAACAATTCCAATACACCCTGTACATGAATTACCACGCAAATCGTAAAGTTTGAAAGCGTCAAATCGATAAATCTGAAACGTTTAGCCACACTTTCGCTAGAGAAAGCAGTCGTACAATATCTTTGTTTTTATATCCGACATGCGTGCCTCAGACTAGACTAGATCCAGTAAGTCAATCGTTAATATATTCGAATGTAAAATTATAATACAATAGAAAGAATCGAGATAAATTTCATATTAACCATAATTATTACTATCACTCTGTGATTTACGAATAATTATGCAAATATAGTTAAAATATGCATGCTTATAAAACAGTACAAAGATTGTTTTGATGTCGTGTAACGGGTCTATTGAAATCTGCTATTTTCGTTCGCTATGTATGCAAAGTCTTAAGCTGCATAAATTCTCTTTTAAGTTTTTTTTTATTGCTCAGGTGGGTGGGCGAGCTCACAGCCCACCTGGTGTTAAGTGGTTACTGGAGCCACCCACCTTGAGATATAAGTTCTAAGGTCTCAATATAGTTACAGTTAAGTTCACGAAGATTGAAATTAATTTATTTCGTTCGAATGACGGTACGAAAACGGCTTAAAAAAATCATGTGACCGTTATGGATCCATTATTTCTGCGGTAATACAGTCATTTGCTTTGTTTCATAAACGTAATTAGTAGTATACGCGATTATCTGCCCATATGGGTATGCCACTATCCTGCCTGTCTGCAACAAAACAGTCACGTGTTCCGGCTTAAAGAGTTTTAAGACCGCCATAGAATATAGTACAATTGAGCACTGGCGTTGACACTATGAGGGGCTCCGGTAATCACTTAACATCAAGGAGGTCGTGAGTTCGTTCTGCTGTCAAAGCGATAAAAAACTATCAGTCTGGCATTGACATTTCACACCCCCGCAGTCACAGTGACAACACACCGAGAAATCGTTTTATTTACAAAACCTTAATAATCAATGAGGTTTCGCCATCACCAGACCATCGATTGCAATAGTATTGACTAACAGCGGCTCACGACGGCTGTGCGTGTTTTTTTGCTTCTGTAAAACGAGATAGCATACGGATAGCGCAACAAATGTTTCGAGCAATTGTTTCCGTATTGCAACAGCTATTAGTAAGACTCCGATAATAATTTACCGCAATCTCGTTTGGCTAAGACAATCGACGTTAATATTTATTTCCTTTGACAATAAATTCGCAGATGTTCTCTTGACGTGGCCGATTTATTAGGTTACCATCTCGTTGTGAATGACGCACGAACATAATCTCAAAGAAAAATCAGACTATAGGCAGCTCGAGCTTAGAATGCATACCATCAATATTAAGCCTAATTATTTTACGGGTTTGATTCTTATCACAGGTTTCAATATATATATTTTTGGAAAGATATTCGATAGCGGGTGTTAGATAAAAGGTACTGATCATTAAAAAACAAAACAGTGCCTGCTTCCAAAGGTATTTTGTAGTTTACTTATTAGTAGATGCTCTCGATACGAGAGTACCTCTCGGTTTCGCAGTTTCAATTTGTAATTGAAATAGAATGAAAAATAAACTACTCATCGATTTTAAGGTTCGTATTGAAAAATTACTCACAAAGTGTAAAGTCAACTTAATTAAAGATCAGTCCAACTGAGTTTCTCGCGGGATCTTCTCAGTGGGTCGCGATTCCGATCCGGTGGTAGACTCTGCGAAGCACTGCTCTTACTAGGGCTAGTGTTAGCAAATTCTCTCAGGTTGAGCACGTGAACTCACGTACCCATCCAGGTGTAGCTGGAATAGCCACTTAGGCTACCAGCGAATAGGTAGGGAAAATAAAGATCAGTACTAATCAAATGGGTAATGGTCCGTCAATTGTGTGGAAAATAAAGCAATCACGTTGTATAACAGAGTAAGCTCGGACTTTCTACTGTGCTTAGAATGCCGACATAAAATAACATACGAAATATGAGTAAGACTCCGATCCCGAATATTAATTATCTTTCACAACGATAACTCTTATTAGTATTAGAATCCGAATCTCGTGGTACTAACTACTACGAAGAAATTCGGGAAGCAATTGCTCTTGAGTTGTTAGGTCTCCTTCGGAGGCGCTCGGACAGTTGTTAGCAAATCCCACCCCTCCTGGCTGAGCCTTTGCTCGCCCACCTGTCCTGGTGAAGCTGGAAAGGCCTCCGGGCCAGCAGTAATCTTTCAATCATAAAAATAAAACTTCGAAGTCTAGATCACTAATCACTGTACCAACGAGATAATAGAGGATAACAAAAAAAGCCATATATCTATGAAGATAAAAACAATAATGAAATTAAAGCTACTATTTCGGTTTGATCTCCCTTTTTGTACTATTATTCATGTAATTGATTTATGATCTCCGACATTTCTAATGCTTTACAGTATTCGTGATGAAAGTCGTCTTTCTGAAATAATATATTGACAATAACAACGCGAGATTAAACCATACAAGTAGTTTTAATTTTGTTTACGACTCGCGAAATCGAAGAATATACTATAAAAATAGTATTGTCTCCAAGTAACGTCTTTCTGTTTCCAGTTTGATAAATCACATGAAAGATGGAGAGCTGGTTGGACGACATCAAACGCGTGAGAATCCCACGACCGAAATTCGGGAACAAGTATCCAGTGGAGCCTCCCAAGGATTACTTAGAGAACAGTGACCTCAGCGGCAAAGCGAGGCGACACGATAACAAAGACTTTGTTAAAGCGACTGAGGAATTACGTCGGACATTACAAGAAAAACTATGACCGCTATTAACAGATATGTTTGTAGCTTCAAATTTCCTCATCTTAATTGAAAAAGAATTTAAGAAAATTCCTTGCCTTTATCACATAAAATCGGTACAAAGATCTATACCTGTACGGATGAGTTCCACCGTCCTGGGTTCTTCTGTTATGAAACAATCATGCATACTGATTTGAGGAATAAGATAGCCGTTAGAAGGAGAACCGTTATTCTAATGTAGTTGAGGCTTTGACCTTATATTTCAAAGGGGAAGCCGTTATCGTAGGTGAGGGGGGATGGGTGATCTGTACAAATGAAAGTCCAGTTTGAAATTATTTATTAATGAAGTTATTAAAATGAACGAGTTCAATTTCTATGACTTGTTAATAATGAATTGAGTGTTTCAAATTTCTGTTGATACACGAGGTATATTATAACTACTTTAGTTTTTTTTTATTTGGACAGTATACATACTATTCTATATAATTTTAAATACTAATCAACGTAAATTCTTTATTAGCTTTCTATAATGAAAACATTCATGATTTACAAAAACTCAATAATTGATCACTGAATGAAGTATTTAGCTTTTGGCAACTTTCCATCTAATCCGTTATGGCAATCATATAGTGCATTTAATTTTATTGGGATGAAGGTAACATGGCACCCAACAATCTCCCCATCAACAAAAAAAGGCTTGCCGCACTCGCGTATCTCTAATTTAAGCTAAGTTTATCTTAAATTAATCAATAAAATGTAATGTTATTCTTTTGTTAGATTTCCATTAATTTAGTTGTAGTAGGAATAAACTGGTATCAGTACCCATTAGTGCGCTGTAAGCTTAGGTTTTTGCGATGATTAAATACACTTTTACGGCTTAACTAGAAATAATAGACTGTAGGAAATTGTAAACCGAACGTAATCAAAGTGAAATTAAACCATAAAACTGTTGTTGATTATAACTCCAATTGCAATTTCTGTCAATAATTGGAAATTGAAAAGTAACGAGCCCCTACCCATCGCAAAGATCCGTCGTTGCTTCACTTTACGAATATCTCTTTGAGAGTATTCATTTGACCTAGATAATTTCAAATATCATAAAGATATTCTTACTTGACCCACTTCATAACAAGTTTGATTGGAAAGTTTCCTTATTTTTATATAAGTCGAAGTAAATGCCAAAACATGTATGGTACGGCTATCACTGTCATGAATTTTTATTGTTATTTTAAACTGAAGTTTTACATTCAGTATTAAATTTACTAAAAAACAAACGATTTGTTATCAACTCATTGTACTGTTTTTGTAGTATGTCAATTATTAACATAGAAAAATGTTTGACTATGACGATTTGAACAAATACTGAGGTTGATACTAGTATGGCAATATACAGCGAATGATACATGTAGAATCTTCTAGAATTCATTATAATATTGCAGAAATATGTCAAAACCAAAAATATTGCATGAATTTTTTTCAAAACCTAAAGTTATGCCATCCTGTCCATTAAAATATTAATATATATTTAAGGATCTGTATAAAATGCATAAATCTCCATACGCCTCTAACTTTTCAAACCCGTTTGACAATTGTATATAGTCTTATTTTTGTAACAGGAAACTATAAATCAATTGTTTTGACTACAGATTGTTACTAATTAAAATACTTTTCATTTAGTTAATAGAGCTTAATTAAGTATAAAACATAAGATTAAAATTTAGACTGATGTTATGAGATTTATAATGGTCCGTTGAATCTCGTTTGATTTTAATTTAGCATTTAATAAAGTGTATTGTGTTATTACATTCTGTTTAATTTAATTACCACACAAAGGTAGTTAAATGTTTAAGTGTGTATTAAAAAAGACAATCAACGGCCTTGTAATGACAAATTGAATTGGTCATATTATCGGAACTGAAACTATTGCTAATTCTATTTTAACAATGTTTTATGTTAATCTAATAAATATTATAGCCTGCTAGCTCATGGCCTATGTAACTGTAGTATTCCGCCACGGTGCCCGTACATACATTAACTCTCTCCAGGTCATCTAATCCCGATTCTGCAGGATAGCTGTCGGAGCACCGTGGTACGTGAGGAATGTAGATCTTCACGACAACCTAAATATAGTACAGATACGTAAGTATCTAAAGGTTGCGTCAGAACGCTACTTCGACAGATCGGCGCGACATAAAAACCCTCTTATCATGGTCGTCGCTAATTACTTATCCGACCGCGACGGAGCAACACACAGCCGCCGTCGCCCGAAACATGTCTTGTCGGATCTCCCGGATTCACTCTCGGTATTTCTAGGTCCCTCAAGTACCGGTCACAGAGCGAACGGACCCATAGATACAGCCTACTGAGTTTCTCACCGGATCTCCTCAGTGGGTCGTGATTCTGATCCGGTGGTAGATTCTGCGAAGCACTGCTCTTACTAGGGCTAGTGTTAGCACATTTTCTCAGGTTGAGTCCGTGAGCTCACCTATCCGTCCGGCCGTAGCTAGAATATCTTCCTAGATTACCAGCGAATAGATAGGGAAAAAAAACCCGTTAGTGTCGTAAATTTACGAAAATATATTATGCCTATGTTAGTCTAGTCTTGGAAGTGAGTATTTACGTCAAAATAGCATACTATTATTCAAACTTAGCGAATAGTGCAAACTTTAATTGACCAACATAAGTCGTATTTTTTTATCGCTTTCGATAGGTCATGGGGCTATTCAGAGGCTATATATCGAAAACTTTATTCATGATAAATGTAATAACAATGAATAAAAGCGTTGCAAAGTTTATGTTCTCAGAGTCGTATACTTCCTGTATCGTTTAGTTAAGTTCGTGAGATGAACACGGCGCCATCATCCTACTGGCACAGAGCCAAATAAGTTTTAGCGTATCTATCTATCAGACATAATTCATACGCACAGAGCCTTTTTGCCGTTATATATTATCTAATAAAACAAATCTAATAGGTCTACATCAATAAACTGAGCAAACAAAGACGCAGCCAACGCTCGAACAAGAATTTTGTCAATGCTCAAAAGCAATAAAATCTACATCGAAATATTGCTTATTTACGTTCTATTGTTTTTGTTTAATTAAAGCCTTTATATTTTTGTTACGTTTCTTCAATGTCTAGATACACCGGATTCTAATATTTTATTATATGTATCTATCTATCTATTGAACCATAGATGAGTGTGTCGTATGGAATAATAAAATCTTTCTATTCAAATTAATGTCTACATTCTCCTTGTTAAAATTTATTTTTTACTTTCAATCATGTTATTCAATGTTCTTAAGCCCCCATAGTAATTTTCTATTCCATACTTCATTACACGACCTTGATAGAAATTGCTAAACGTATCGATAGGTATTGTTTCATACAAGGAAGGTGGAACGTTACTAATAACTTCATCAAAATAGTTAAAATCACTAACGCGTTTTATTGCAAGTAATGTATTGTAATATAATATTCTAATAAACTCATCTGAGAGCGGTTTCGAGTTATACTACGGTTGCACGAAACATGAACTTCCAAAAATCACACTTAGTTTAGTTCTACTCAGCTAAATCAATGCATAGTGTTTGCATTTAAATAAGAGTGTTTCGTTTATAATTATTGTTTAGTTTCCGGAAACTACCTATAATTACTTGTCTTGACCGACTGATTCATTAAAGCAGAGCCCAAATCGTTGGGGCTAAAAACTTTAAAATTTGAAAGCGGTTTATTTATATGTTGTATTAATAACATGTAAAAAAACACTGAAGTAATGGTTTTTGTAAATTTCATCAATAAGAAGGGAAAATCAATGATGACTGGTGGTCAGAAAGGCCGTCCCTTTTAAGGTAAGAAGCACAAATTTCCATAAACTCGCTTCTGGTTAAATAAAAATGTACCCCACATCAGCGCTTCTCCAAATTTTACCCGGTAGGTGTGTAAATTAGGGGACGAAAATGTATATAGGATTTTTTTTATTGCTTAGTTGGATGGGCGAGCTCACAGCCCACCTGGTGTTAAGTGGTTACTGGAGCATATAGACATCTACAAAGTTAATGCGCCACCCACCTTGAGATTCAAGTTCTAAGGTCTCAGTATAGTTACAACGGCTGCCCCACCCTTCGAGCCGAAATGCATTACTGCTTCATGGAAGAAATAGGCAGGGTGGTGGTACCTACCCGTACGAATTCACAAGAGGTCCTACTAGTTCTACCACCAGTTAAAAATTACTTTGTATGTTTATGTATTTTTAACAGTTCATCTGATTGTAATCATACTTGATATAGTTGTGATTGGTACTCCAGGAGAAGCTTCCGTTATAGTAAGTACAATCAAATTTCGATGAGTCGTGAGTGGTTTCAAGAAGAAATTTATATCTATACTAATATATAAATCTACAGTGGTTTTTACGGATGTTCCGTTATAACTACTGAACCACGCATCCGATATACTTGAAAATTGGTATCCATTTAGAAAATACATGTACTTAATGGATAGGCTAATATTTATATGAGTGTTGGACTCCTACACCAGTTGCGGGGGCGTTAATGATGAAAATCTTTGTGGGGGTGAGAAACAATAATGCTAATTTTAAATGCCCAGCGAAGCGGACGGGTACAGCTAGTCTTTCATACAATTAGTGATAATCACAGTGGAGCGGGGCCGAGCTCCGAGAGTATTTTATAATAATACCCACTCACCGCGTCATCATAGTGCTGGGTATGCAAGGCTGTGGTGCTCCCTTCGCGCGAGTTGCAAGGAGAAGAGTGCCGGCGAGAATGTCTACCTTCTTCTTCGTACTCCTGCATATATTCATAAAAATTACAGCAATTGTTTGCAAATATAACAAGCATTTTGTTACAAAATTAAAACACGCTGTCAGGCTGTTTTACTCTATTTTGTTGTAATTCCCTTTATGAAGGTGAATCCAACATTCATTAGACAGAACACAAATGAAAAATATTAAAAAACCACATTCATTTTATAGCTTTGATATAATATATACGCTAAGAGTTTATCTTTCTTATATAGTAATAATGCTCTAAATTAATTGCTGCAAGCGACTAAACACATACTTTTCTAAGGACATGTGATGCAAACCCTGCACAGAAAAAAATCAACAGCAAATTCACGCGTTATTATTTAAAATACGCCAATTTTTCACAAGTGCCGCAACAAAGAATAATTAAAGCATTACCACCGCCTACAAAATATAAAGCCGCGTGGCGTGCAACACAACAAACTCACATAAAAGAAAACACTAATGAAGTTACAGTAGATGTGAACTTTATGAGGGAGTGTGATGCAGTGAAGGTATGAATTAAGACTGCAGGGAGAGAGTCCACCAACTGTCTCGACGGTGCAATTGATTTTTCGCGCTATTTTTGCATGGTGGCACAGTTTCGTCGGGGTTAAAAGTAAAGCTATTGTCGTACGAGTATTACACACACCCTTACATTTTGATTATCTATGTTACCTCTACCAAACCGCACAACACTCAAACGACGTCAATAATCTTCTAAATACATTTGTGGCTTAGTCTCACTCTCGCATTTATTATTTTCAGTGCATTTATTTCATTATTTAACAACTTTAGGGTTGCTTTTGAATTAATTTATTACAAAACGATGATTCGTAAAGATAATAATAATTGAATAAATGTTTTAGAAGCACGTGTCGATATACTACAGAATTTTCTCTAGATGTTTTACTATTAACTAAGTAGTAACCTATTGTTTTCTCTTTTGCTTCTAACCAGAAATAAAAGTTTACCCAGATAAATAAACGGATTAGCTGACGACCCACCTCTACTCCACGACTTCTCAACCCAAAGAAATCACAACATAAATGTCTGCTATTCCCCTTGTCTCTCCTAATAAGGAAAAATTGTACCAAAAAAAGTCTCTGCTATCGTTAAGTTTTTATAGTACTGCATAAAGAAGGATGAGTCTATCAGAGTCCATAGACAAGCTCACCGGGAATGTTGCCACTCACCTTGAAGCGGGTCTATTGGTCTATGGATAATAACTAAATCCTAACTCAAGACAGAACACATGATTGCGTCACCTCAGAAATAGGCGGAATTATTGTATCTTATTCACTAATTTGTACTTTTGTTATATCATTGAATAATATTTATCAATCAATAAAAACCTTATATAAGTAATTTAATTTCGAAAAGAAGAAAGTGATAGTCAGAGCAACTATACTGAAACATAGAACATTGTTTAGATAAATAAATATATAAACGTAAAGAATGTACGTACGATCTTAATCGCCTACAAAATAAAATGTACAGGCTCATGACAGAAATTATAAAGACAAACACTATTAATTAGGAACCATTATACAATTATAATGGTTCCTAATACTTCCTACTACTACTAAAATATATCGATTCACTCATAATATTGTAGAAAAACAAAAAGAAGATTTTCACTTGAAGACAGAAAATTGACGTTTCAATGTTATTCTTATTGAGACTTCAATTAATGGCTGTACCGTCTTGCAGAACGCAATACAGCTTCGCGGCAGAATCAGGAGGTCGATGATGCCTACCCGAGCGGGCTCACAAAACGGCCCACCCTGACCGGAAAATTCAAAAATTCTTCCGAAAAAGATGTCTTCTTTTAAATCTGGATTGATGAGATTTTATGATAAAGGTACTATTTTATTATTTAACTACAAAAGTGTTTCAAGTTAAAAGCATTAGACAGGTGCGCGACAAGGGCGTATGTCGTTTCGCGTGTTAGTCACTACTTTGCTCTTTAGTTACAACTAAAAAACAAAGCAGCAAAATTGTGATCGTTTACCCTCGTTTTTGAACACATTACTTATTATTTATGTACCGACAATCACGCAATTTTCGGGCGTAACAACCTTCTGAAAATGTTTTTAATTATCTATTTTCAACGTTCGTTACTATAATTTATCGATTTTACTATACACAATAAATACATAGCAAGAAATAATTATGTTCACCATAATCATTAATTGCAAAATACTTTAAAGTGTGAAGTCTTTTATTCATTGCAAGATAAAGATTTGAAATCGCAGCTATTCTTACTGTAACATGTACATACATATTAGTATTACATATCAGAATCCCATACATAATAAAATATCACACACAGCCATTCTTAGGCGGTTCTCTTAAACACATTACGAATTGAAAATCTTTCTTTTACTTGAATTCTGTAGATAAACATCCTCATGACCTACATACGCCATTCCATTATTGTTTCATTAAAAATGTACGTGAAAAATAAAAGGAAAAAGGAATTTTACTACATAGAAATACCTTCTAGCTACACAGGTACCTACTATTAGGTCATTTCATATGAAATTAGCGGTTTTTCGTACTGACCACTTTGATCTGAAATATCTCCTCTTTCGTTAAGAATTCCAAATCCGAATTTTATTTATTTTTGTTTTGTTTTTATTTTCAAAGTCTTCGTTCTGGAAATTTCAACTCTCAGAACCAACCCCGTGGACGACCGGAGACCAAAGTAGAAAATTAAGAATTAAAGACTTATGGAAGCGGATCCATCACAAAGCACTTCAGAGATAGTTGCAGGCTTCGGAGTAGATGATAAAACTGTATTAATCCACTTGAAGCAAATCGGGAAAGTAAAAAAACTTGAATGATGGGTACCTCATGAAATGAGTGAATTGAACATGCAAACACGCGTCGACTGCTGTGTTACTTTGCTCAACCGACACAATAATGAAGGGATTTAAAATCGAATTATCACTTGTGATGAAAAGTGGATACTGTACGATAATCGGAAGCGCTCGTCGCAATGGTTGAATCCTGGAGACCTAGCCAAATCCTATCCTAAACGAAAATTTACTCAGAAAAAGTTACTAGTGAGTGTTTAGTGAACTAATGCCGGTGTAGTTCACTAAAGTTTTCTAAAATCTGGCCAAACAATTACGGCAGATATCTATTGCCAGCAACTACAAAACATGAAGGAATAACTAGCTGCTAAACAACCGAGATTGCTCAATCGCTCTAAGTCACTGCTGCTTTATGACAACGTAAGACCACACACTGCATAGCAAACAACCAATAAGTAACATGAGCTACAATTGGAATGTCTGCGACATCCACCGTACTCCCCGGATCTTGCTCCAACAGATTACCATTTTTTTCGGAATTTACAAGGAAAAAATTCAACTCCGATGCGGCAGTCCAAACCGCCTTCAAAGAATTTATCGATTCTCGCCCCCATGATTTTTTTAGTAAAGGGATCAATGAACTACCTAACTACCTACTAACTTTAAGATGGCAAAAGTGCATAGATAACAACCGTGCATACTTTGATTAATTAAATATATTTTACAAAAAAAAACAGATTTTATATTCCGCCCGTACAAAACGCCAGTTTCATATACCTAATTTTTTTAGGATAGGCATTGCTTATATTTGGATGCAATAATTTATAGACTTTAAACGTTAAAACAGATTAGACCTTTAAAATCGATAGTTTATTCGGTATATTTGTATATGTATTGGTAATAAAATATTATTACCTATCTATTATTATTATACCTATGTATTACACACAAAATACACACATACATATAAAATAACCTATTAAATAAAGATTGACTTCATTATTTACACTTTCTTCTGTAGTAGGTAGAATGTGTATTCTGACAAAAAAATCCAGGGTTTATAAAGTAATTTTTAAAAATACCTATTATTTTTATGTAACATAGAGCGAAGTTTTGGAAAATGACTTGTCAAAATAAAGAATAAACCTAAATGTGTTCATATTTTTCTAAAAGCACTGGTCAGCAGTATTCACGTTGGCAGCTGTCAAAACATCCGGTCAGCAAGGAAGTATTGGCATATTGATAAAAATCGAGCAAGACTTATGTTTGGTTTTGTGTTTTCGATGTCGATGCGCCGTAAAATTTGCACAATTGTACATAAAATAACCCACAAAGGTTCTTTAAAATGAGATTATCATTCGATAAGGCTTCAGGTAGACCGTTAAGCTCCGTTTATATTCGTCCTTATAACTTGATTAAGAAATGGCTAAGAAATTATGGCTTAGAAATTGTTCGTCGTATATTTTTTTGTTGAAGTTTGAACTTCAGCTTTGTAAATACTTCATGAGTACCTTTTCTTTTCCATCAATGGTGGTTACTGTTTACTTAATGTTTGTATTACTTTTCATAAATCGAAACGATAAATATTTTATATACGGAGCTTTTGTATACGGGGTTAATTAAAACTATTGTACAGCTTTAAGCAAAAAAAAAATTAAATGTTCATCAATTTCATTATTTTAAGAAACCTTTAGATGATCAAAGAACGGGAATAGGCACAGTAAAAAAAAATTAAATGTTAAATCAAAACAAAAATTATTATACCTTTGCCATAGCTCGAACATCCATGGGCAAATAATCGCGAAAAGCGACGCGGCGCCGCCGGCGGGACGTCATCTCGTCCGCCCGCCGGTCCCGGCCCGCGGTCTACGTCAGCACACCCGCCCGCCCTAACCGACAACTCGCTACTGAGTAGACATGTGTAAGTAATGCGAGTGATATTACTCGGGTAATATTACTCTACGATGTAATGCAACATCACACATTACGCGAAGGAAACAAACATCACACTATCACCCAACATGTTTCTTTCTTTGTCGTGTAATGTTGTTTAGTACACGAACGGAACCGAGCGAGCGAGACAAACCGATCGACGCAAAATAAATGAGCAAGCGACACGGAATTATTCCTAGTGATTTTGAACCGTATGTCCTGGCCGCTAGGTACATTTTTATACCTATGG